TGTTAGCCACAGCTGTTTGGAAACCTGTTAGCCATGGGAATTCTGTCACATCAGGGAAAGAAAACAATATAACGGGGTCAGTAGGCTGTTTACAGATGAGGAGTCGGGCACTTAGACCATCCTTTTTAACCAGGAACACAACAAATTTCCAACCGTATTGGTTGTGCGCACTTTATAGAGTTGAGTACAATTAGCAATTACAAGGACATCACCTGGATCATTAGATATTAGATATTACAAAAATAAACACATTTCTAAGAAAGGTGTGTAATCTATTTTTCCTATACTTTGAAAATTTTCCTCAAACTGAAGGGGGAAAAAGCCTGCCACCTCCAAAGTAATACTGTCTCCAAAAACTAAAATTATCTGTTTAAAAAAAGGAACAATTTCTTTTGCCTCGCACATTTAAAAGAGCAGAAAACATGCATATTTTTCATCACAAAAAAAAAAAAAAAAGATATTTGTAACCTGGGGTTGCCTTAGTGATCTGGATTTCCGTAGGACTCCATGTCTATTGTCTTTGAGTCAACAGTCCCAATGTGTCAATGTTATGTCGATTTAAAATCATGTCTTGTCGTTATTTTATAGGCAAACATAGGACTAAAAGATATAGCAGGTAAAGCATGCAAAGAATTGACATCAGCACACTTGGTATGTGTGAAAAATTTATAGTAGGGGAAGTCGGAAATCAAGGTTGTCTAGCAATTTGTGCATGCTGCTGGGAACTCAGAATTTTGGTTCTCACCTTAGCACTGCCGCATCTCGGCCCCACTGAGTCATAAACCAAGCTCCCACTGACGTGTGGGGTCCGAGGAACGGGCAGTAACTTCGTGTTCTGTGGAAATAACTCACAGACACATTCTGCCACTCTGAATCACGTTCAGTGTTCCCTTTAAGATTTTCGCTGAAGTCAGGTACAGAGTTTAAATTTCTTGGAGCAGGGCCCCTGCTACTTACAGGTCGGAAAGGCATCTAGCACCACAAAGTTCATGTCAGATTGTGATCTGGGGAGTGCTGTTACATTACAAAACCAAAAGCAATAATACTCAGTGCTGGCAATGGGTGATGGAACCTGGCCCTTGACTTCTCTGCCTTAATTTCTACAAAAACGGGGATAATAATTCTTACCTACTTCATAATGGGTGAGGACTAAATAATAAACATTTATACAGTGCTTTGAAAATAAACATTATATAAGTGCTAAGTATTATGATATTAACCAAAATGTCACTACATCTATATGACCCTACTAAGCAAAAAAAGTTCCAGTATAATTTTTTTCACACACTTCCAAGTCAATAAAAATGAACCATGGAGTCAGTTTGCTATTTTGATACAAATGGATTAAGATTATTTGACAGTTCCAAAAAAATCATAGACTATTTTTTCCATTATAAAGGGGCCCATGTAATGCATAAAGCCTTTTTCTTTATAGAATTGTTTATAAACAGCATTATTCATTTGGCATTCATTCAAGTTATTTTTCAGATACCAGACCAAGCTTTTGAGGAAGATTCTTTAGCAATCCACATACACTCAATGAAGGCCTCCTCCAAGGGAATTCTGCCCAGCAGCCGTTGTTCTGATGATCTTGGAAATCTCACACTTCTCAAATGAAAGATTAGACAAAGATCAGGCTGAATGAAGGTGGACAATAAATGAGGCTTGGCATGCCTGAGAATCTGAAACAATTACCATACTTTTAAACTTTAATAAGCACCTCAGGACCTTGACTATCTTATTGTCAACGTCCTCAGGAAAAATAAAGAGATGAAAAAAAAAATTAAAAAAACCTACATGTTAACAGAGATGGAGTAGACACTTTGGTCCAGATTCTGAACTTGTATGGATCACCAGAGCTCCACATGGTGAATGGAGCCACAGTGACTTACACTTAGTGACAAGTACAGTCCAGTACATGGTAGCCCAGGTAGGACTCCTCATTTCTTCCCAACGATGTAAGGATGGCAAGAAGAGGAGGACACCTGTATGCATCATCCAAAACAAGGCAAAGCTTTTATACCACCACTGATGCAGTTGGCCCGTTTGAGAAATAAGCAAAGCAGAACCAGTTTCGGCTACAGCCTTTGAGCAGTGCACTTTTCATTTCTTTTCATGCTAAATGAAATGCAAGAGCAGCATGAAGCACCTTAGATTCACAGCAACACCCTGCCCCTTTCCCCAGGCTGATCTACGGCACCTCCTTCAAAACAGGCTAAGCTGATAAATCTTGCCACCTCCTTCCCTTCTGCGGTAGAGGGCAAGACTGTCCTTGAGACATCCATTGAAAGCAATCAGAAGAAACTGTAAGAATTTTTCATTCTGGAAAGATGTATGCTACACTACCAGCCTTGTTTCATGTTAGGAGGGAACTGTATTCATGTTACAGCTATTTTTTGAACGTAAGACATAAGCTGTGTGTAGCAAAATTTCTGAGAGAAATCTACGAGCATTTTTGCTGTGTCGGTACCTAGTAAAACAGAAAAGGTGGAAAAGTTATTCCTTCCAACATGAGGTGGATGCATATTGTATGTGCATCCTGTAACACTGTTAAATTCGGTCATGCCTCACAGCGTCACTTAGAAAATGTCTGAGAAGATTCAGATCCCACACCTACAGCTTCCACTGAGCCCGTTCTACAGAATTGTTCAAGGTTGAAAATCACTCCTGTAAGAAAGTCCAGCACAGGACTGAAAAGATCACATAAGCCTCTCTTAAAGCTCAAAAGAGGACTTGAAAGGGTAATAATTAGATCAACGGTACAGATAACAAGCAGTCCTCACTCAATCGAAAGCTCTGTGCCTTCGGTCTTCAGCACTGTGTATCAAATTCTCCTCCGATGGCTGTGGGTATCCAGTACAACAGGTTACTTGTTATAGCCTAAAGCATCTCTGTAGTAATGTTTATTATTTTTCAGATCTGCATGTTAGAAGTGTTGGAATCACTCCAAATATTTCTTATTTTAGCCAGAAATTCATACATCATCATGAATAACATTTTACTTTCTAGGTAATGTTTCATTCCCATAATTGCCTGAGATATTTGTCTGTATTTCTCAGCAAGAAGGAACACTACTTTAATATTTTAGCCTTGCTTTAAAAAGGTACCAGGCTTTCACAGAGAGGTAGAAAAGGCAGGTAACATTTATCAGCTCTAGCAAATCCAAAATGTAACTACTTCTCACGTAATAAATAGAAGGGAAATGGCACAACTATGACATTCCAGAAATTTTGCTTGCTAGAAAATATCAAAACTTGAAGAAAAAAAAAAAAAAAAAAAAAAGACAAGTGTCTAAAATTTATCTACAGCATGAAGTTTTGTCCTACGGTAATATTTGGATTTGATAAATATCAGCAAAAGCCAAAACTAGTAATGGATTGCTAAATGAGACATAAAAAGCAGGCTTAATAACAGTACTATTGAGAGGATAACCTTCCAGCAACAAGGGCCTTGGTAACAAAGGCAACAAATAACTATCTTGTTAGATGTAGACAAGACCAGTATTTGTACTTTCCTCTCCTCCCCACCAAAAAACAATTTAAAAAAAAAAAAGGTATAATAAACTAATTAGAAGTCAATAGTATAAAAAGTAAAAATTGGAGGGTCAGTAAACCCAGACACTTTGGTAATATAATTTAAAGGATTTCCCTACTCCCCATCCTTTCTGGATTTATACTAGTTATTTTGCTTAAGCGTTAGCTTAAGACTTGGTATTAAATCACAGGCAAAAATTAAAATGGCCAAATATTGAACTTGTCCACCTCTACAAAACACACTTGTGGGTTAATTTTGATTTTTTCATTACTTAAAAAGACTGTGAAAGTGTCATACAGACTTTTCAGCTTACTTCTCAGAAATATGGCACATTAACTTGACTAGAAATCATGGCATCTACCTTTTCCCATATGTGATACGTATAACTTGATCTATTCATAGAAGACTCGGACTGTCATTTTGGCAAGAAGCTGCAATGCACCAGTCTGAGCATAAAGGACTTAAGTTATGGTTCTTGCAGAATCGGTTATTAACAGAATAAGTACGGCTATTTTTTTTTTTAATCTATAATATTTACAGTATTGCACTTTACTGCACTTAATTGCATTTCACTAAAATTAATGCTGCATCAGTATTATGCCTTAAAACCATATGTCCATCTTTGTTGTACAAATTTCTTTCTACATCCTGTAAAACAGCGAGATTTTGATTCAAAGGTCCAGACATTTGGAAAAAAAAAAAAATTAGAAAAATTGACCTGTTTCTATGGCACAATGCATCTCAATGAGTTCAGGTGATTCTGGCAAAACAGGTGCATTTCTTATTGTTCCCATCTTTCAAGTTGTCACTAATGATTAGTAAATTCTAGTCTCTCTTTTTCTCCTTTCAAAGGACATAGCCATTTGAAACGCACATTTTTTTGTTATTGCTGCTTTTTTTTTTTTTTTAGGAAAGAAAAGGGAAAAAAAAAAAAAAACTGCCTTGCCTCAGATCTGAAATTCCACATTTAAATTCAAACCAGTTCTGCAGCAGCAGCTCCTCAGTGATGGAAGAGATTCATGGCAGTGAAATAATACTGTTGGCAACAAAGAAATGTCATCTTTAATGGAGACCAGCCCCAACGATTTATTATTTATTATTATTACTATTTGTTTTGTTTAGTTTCGTTCTAATATATTTCTGATCTTCAAAACGTGTTTAGTTAGACACATGCACAAGGTAGCAAAACTGACAGCAGCAGATGACGTTATGCTGGAGCAATCACTTTTGCCAGGGTCAAAAATCCAAAGCGTCCCCAATGTTCACAGATTAACATAATTTAGAGATCGTTTCCTTTTCTCTTTTCTTTTTTTTTTTTGGTTTTTTTTTTTTTTCCTTGCTTTTCGTGTTGGTTGGGTTGGGTCGGTTGGTTGGTTTGGTTGCGTTTTGTGGTGGGTTTTGTTTTGTTTTTGTTTTTTTTTGTTTTTTTTTCAAACTCTCCTCCTTTCTCTCTCCTCCCACCTACTTTATCCTCCGCGGAGTCTCTGACTCGTGGGGTGCCCGTGTGCGTGGGAGCCGGGCCGGGTCCCCCCCACCGCACCGCACCGCACCGCGCCGCGCGGCGCCAACGGCCGCCAACGGCCACCAACGGCCACCAACGGCCGCCCAACCGCCTCCCTCTTCGCCCGGCGAGTCTCTGGGGGCGAGAGGACCAAGAAAGCGAGCGGGAGGCGGCTGCCGCTGAGCGCTTGGGAGAGGGGAAAGAAGTAAAAAAAAAAATAAAATAAAATAAAGAAAACATAAAAAAAAAAAAAAAAAAAAAAAAAAAAAAAAAAAAAAAACAAAACAAAACAAAAAAACGAAAACGGGGGAGAAGGCGGCAGGGAAGAAGACGAGAAAGCCGCCGAGGAGGAGGAGGAGGAGGAGCGGGAGGGGGGCAGAGCGGCCCTCCGTGCGGGTCACACACACGCCCGCCGCGGGGCACCCGAAGCGGGGCGGGATGATGGGGTCGGGTGATGGAAGGGGGTGTGGGGAGTAGGTGGGGGGGTTAAGGGGGGGCTGGGTGTCTGGTCTGAAGCCTGTCAGAGCCCCAGGGCCTCGGCGTGCTTGCGGGCCTTGAGCCGCAGGTCGGCGATGCTGGAGTTCTTGCTGTTGCTCTTGGCGGCGGCGGCCACCACGGCGGCGGCGGAGGCGG